ACCCGACCGGAAACCGTGTTGTTGGTGGCACACCAAATGCTGCCGAAGCCGTGCAGCCACCGATCGCTCCAGGTTGCACAGTGGCACTGCAAGTTCATCAGCCAGCTCCTTCAGGATCAGCGGATGCACACCATCAGGTCCAGGTGAATGGTGGACCTTTAATCAACGCAGCTCCAGGGCCACCTCTCCGATGGTAAATGGGGCCCAGTTCAGCACAGTGTCCAGTAGATGCCAGTGTGCTTGAGGCTGCGGTGTACACAGGCATAATGTGATGCCAGCATCTCCGCTTTGTCCTCATCTTTTTCGGCTAATGCCCAATCTTTGGCGAGAGTCGGGAGACCAGGTGTTATTCTGATTCTCCGCCTAAAGTAGGCATACAATCGCTTTGGTGCTTGTACTGAATCCGCTGCTAGTCGTTCCTCGAATCTGGTTCTCTTGCATTTTTTAGTGCAATACAATGATTCCGAATACATCGATATTCCTCATATCCTGCGCCTGTTGCACGGTACCTGGACCAGGCTTTACTCCGCTGCCGGAGGCACGCCCGCAATTCTCGGCCAAACCACGGCGGGCCCATAGCGTGTGTTCGGTGGAGAGAATTCCAGTACGAGTTGCTGGATTCTATGACGAACCAACTCTCAGGATACATCCACATCCTCAGGGTTCCAAGAATCCCAATTTGTCAGCGATGCAACCTGACGCATAAAGGATGAGCGCCAAACATTCCGTCCGTTCTGTGGTCTGTCCGTTTGGGGTACGCCACGCCTCTAGTGTATACGCAGAACGGAGTGATCACTAGATGTAATTGGTGGAAGGAAATCAGTCCTAGTTGTATCTGATCTCCTCGGCGAAAATACCATGTCAAGGATGGATTTTTGATCCCACACTATTCTCGTGGGCACATGAACATGCTGAACAAGCGAGAGAGCCCGGACAGTGAAAAGAAGTTCTATGGAAAACAAATCTGCGTGCTGAAAGCAGATGTCAGTTTCCCAATCAACATGGGACGTGTTGAAATCACCAAGACAAGACAACGTCCATAGCAGGTGTACCTCTGTATGCTGGGCAGCAGCTCTGGGTGGTACACAGCTAGTGTGCGGTAAATCACTCCAAATTTGGTATACTCTCCGGCACAAGGCTTGTTTCTGCACCACAGGGCTTCTCCAAATCATTCCGGAAGGGCGTAATTCACAAGCACTCGAAAAGGGAGACCCGAGCGGACAAAAAAAAAACAACTCCACCACCGCGACGTGACAATGATCAATCGGTTCGAAACACTGCGTATCCGTGGAGAGATATTTCGGAGCCCCGGACATCCGGTGTCAGCCAGGTCTGTGATTGCAAAAAGATCAAGATTGTGGGATAAAACCCAGTCGTCCAGCTCATCCCTTTCTCCAAGCTTCCTTCGGGTATTGGCTAGCACAGCGTGATTACTTCGACATTCGCGCCTCAAGCTAATGCCCCCGTCCGTGGTTAAACAGTCTCCTGGATCCTCCCCCCGACCAAGGGCAGCCAACGCAACTTAGGGCGCTTCCGATGCACACGAAAATCCCGTATACACAGATCAGTTTCCCCTTTTGCACGGCGCTCCCTGAGTTCTTCAATGCAGTTTTCAATTTACTGCAGTGGTCCGGAGCAAGTTCCCTGAGGAATCGCACCGGAGTTCCGTTCAACTTGTGGGTCCGCTGGAGTATCGTTTTCTGCTCGAAGAACCACTTTCAGTGGCCGTGGAGAATTATCCTGGCGGGGTTTTTCAAGCCTGAATGCCGCTGGTTCCACCTCGTCGTCATTCAACAAAGCAACCATAAGAAACCTCAGCAGCTGCAGGTCGTCTTCCGGGCGAGCCTGGGCAGTGGTGGCCTCGGCCACCTGGAATAAGAAGCCCATGGTGGCACCAATCCTCGGCGCAAACCGAACCGGTCCCTATAGTTAACGTTTTAATTTGACCACCGCGACACTCACCGGCAAGTGCGCAACTCGTGGGCAATCTGGGTACCACAGCCGAAGGGTGTATGAACTCGCCCCACAGTCACCGGCTCCCAGGTCGTTGACACCCTACTCCACCCCACTGCCTTGTGGCTCAGGTTCTTTTACCAAAGGATCTGTTTAGAATCCCCCGAGAAAAAACCGTTTACTTCGGCCTGGACAACCGGTTAGTACCACGCCCACAAACTAACCATGTACTTAAACATTCATGCACGTTCCAGACTCTCACGCTCATACGAAATTCACTTCGCAAAATCTGCAAGCTACAGTTCCACTTGTCCCCCATTTTACCCCTGTATGTCCTATCTCGAAAGGTTCCGCTGACGTAGGTTCATGTAGTCGTTCGCCGCTATGTTCCTTGACAACTATCCGACCTCACTTTGCGTTCGAACTAGCTTCGTTCAACGAAGGAACCTTAAAGCGTATAGGACAGTAAGCAGGTTTGGCTCATAGGCTCGGAAGTCTAAAGACTGTGTTACCTCTGGGAAACACGCATCCAGGATCTTCGGCACAGACGTGAAGTCAGATTGATCATATAGTCATTAGCTATAGATGGGGAGGATGTGTGAAATACTGCCGTTCGTATTGGTCTGCGTGCTTGGACTCCGACCAAGCACTGGTATATGCCAAGTTGTGACCACAAAAGGGTGAGATGCAAATAACTTGAATTCGCCAAGCTTTCTGATCCGGGGATGGTAAGGGCCTACGGTGAATTCTCACTCTCATTTCCTAATACCAGCTCAAACTAACAAAAAAGTCGTTCCTAGGATGAGTCATTGTCATGTAATCAAATTGCTTGATAAAATTTACATCTCCGACAGCATGAGCTTTTTGGCATAAGACAAAATGGGCATCCAGCATAGTTTCTGTACAGCACTCTATGCTGACAGAAGCCTAAATCGAGAATGTTATTTACCGTTGACACTCCGAGAAATACGGTTCAGTGAACTATATTACTTCCTATCAAGCTCAATATAGGCGTAAAGTAGATGGGGAACAAGCACGAGCGCAAACAACAGGACAAAAACTAATCAATAAGGCTAACACAGAAGCACACCGCCTGACTGTGCATACACACCTCTTCAACCATTTGGATCTGATGAAAAATGACAGCGAAAACGCCACTGCTGTTGATTCGTCAACCTTTCCAACCAGTTACGGAGTTTTTGGAACCCAACCCCAAAAGCAATGACTTTACTAAACCTCTCGCTCTCTGTGTGGAGTTCTTCACACTTCATCTTACTACCAGTATACTATTCCCACGTGATTAACTTCATCCGAGAGCGCAGACTGGGTATAGGTGAGCACATGATAGGCACGCGAAAAACGCGTGCAACGTGCTGAGAGGTCTACTCACAGGAAAACTAGACCTAACAGGCGTTGTCACGATTTGCAATATTCCCTTCCCAACATGCATAGACTATTACACTAACGGTAATAAGCGCGTGTAATGAAATGAGTGCGCGCAAACTGTACAAGCCACGGTTGGAATTTTTCTACTTTAATTGAATCGACGATTTTGGAAAAAGTGCAACGCAATATAAGTGAAAACTATTCTGATCATTTCTAATGGTCTCTGATTTTGAGGTTATCAACCCATCTCTTCGGTAACGATTCTTCCAGTGTACCAACCAAGTGTGACTTTTCGCATACCACTCAAATTGTTGTTGTATTCGCTCTGCTTTGACAGCGTCCTTTCAAGAAACACAAAATGGATTTTACTAACATCGTTTTGGGGCCTACTACAGAACGGTTTTATCATTCTTGTAACTATACGGTCATCGTTTTTTTATTACACACTTGCCAGGAATGTGGGTCCAGTTCGCACAGCAAGTGCTGGTACTGTTGGCAGCAATTACTCTCCGTTTCTCACCCATCAGAAGATACCTGATCACTTTATCAATCTGAGCCTTCCAGAATCCATTGAGTTTAAGCTAATTTGTTGTCAACATCAACAAAACGGCCGATGTCGAACAAACAACAGTTAATAAAATAAAAGCTGACAAAGTAGACAATTTTATACGCCCCAACTATGTTGAACATTGTACTGGAACATAGTTAGTCAGAAATTGAAAAGCACCGTAAAGTTGTTTCGAACTGATTGTATCATCATTAGGAAGTATCCATCGACCACGAGATGAATATCGAGATAACCAATTTATATACCCTTCTTCGTGTAACTTTCGTTTTTAGTTAGTCTTCGGCACCAACGGCTTTACGTGCTTGTGTTATGACTGAACTGCAAAAACGCATCCACTACTACATGTACACATATACTATCACTTCGAAGATGTCACACATATGCCTTTATCTGCACCTTTTCAATACCACTGCCCACGAGAGCATTTTGATGAGCAAACAACAAATATTTTGTATCTCTTTATAATATTGCGACTGTTTCACTTATTTCACCACTCCCATGGGCTTCCACATCCCCCAGTACCATTCCTGAGAAAATACGGGTGATAGCTGTGATCAGTCGCTACGGTGAATGAATACCGTGAAAGAAGAGTCACAGAAACAACACCTCAAAAACGATAAATCATCGTATTCTTTGGGATTTGTTTCATTCCCTTCATTTTTACCTTTTTGACCCACTTGCGCCAATAATCTCAGGTATCAAAAAGTGTACGGTGAAACACAAAACATTTTGTTATCCCAGTTATCTATTTTCCAGTGTTCACCTGTTTCACCCTCTTTCCACTTTGTTCGGTATCCCAATCCACCTGAGCCCTATTATTGTTGTGGCGTTGGCACCATGCTTGTCTACAGGCCGCTGTTAAATATATATAAGCCAAAGCTGAGGATAACCGACAGTGGAAACCTTCAGCAAAAATGTGTTTTGTATCGAATTCTTGAGAGACTTCATGTTTTTCATGAAGGCGGTTTAGGCTCTCTGATAATCCAACCTCAGTGAAATGAACTAAGAAACGTGCTGAATATGGCTATAAACCCACAGGTTAGGAAGAACGGGTAGGAATTTTCGTATATTTACAATATCAGAATGGTTCAAGTTAAAAATTGTCTAGAAGCACAGGCGGACTGGTTGTTATGGCTCGCTGTTGAATCAATCGTCGCAAGGCTGTTCGCACATTTGCATGAGGATTCGAATAAATCTGGTGCGTGTAGAACTCCACAAGAAACTTTTGACAGCTACGGACAGTCCCACTGATGTGATGCACGTCGAATAGCGCCAATCGTTCCTGTCCACCTGTGTGAAGCGGGAGAGAGAGAGAAATGGTCCAGTATTGATGCTACTAAATCCAACGGCGTCGAAAAAATACAGCACTCTGTAGAACATGGACAGTTGAAAAAGGGTTAACCGTAAAGAGGTGCACAAATAAATAAATAGCACGGTCAGACCATGAGAACAAATCAATGAGGTGTATGATCGACTGGCATGAGAACTGGAACGTGAAAAATTCAACACCCCAAGCCAATATCATGAGGGTGAATCACATAGGTTTAGTGGATTACAAAAACTGATCAATCGCGTCGAAAATACGCCAGTAGTCATGCATCAAATGAAGACCAGATTAGACTGGAATGTTTTCTAATTGGTAAATGATTTGTTGATAGATTTGTGATATGGAAAGCCTATAAATGAGGTCTATTTGTCCTTCAGAGCTCACAACATTATTGGATCTAAACTCGTCATCCACATGTGACTTAACGACAAAATAATGGAATATTTCACCTAACTGTTGACTATTCTTTGCACAAATCGATTAACAATTTCCGAAGTTTGGAAGATCCGTTCACCAATCTCCGTTAGGCAATACTCTGTGTATTGATACGAAACTTACAATTGTTTTCAGAGATGAGAAATCCACGTTGTCTCACCAACTTAACTGAGGGAATTGGAACTGGACTTACTCTAATCGATAAATCGACATGCGAATAGAATGCGAGAAAATACTATTAGGGTCTCCCATCTTGAATCGTTTATTTTGTGAATTATACGGTAAAAAATCAATATTTTAACAACTGAGCATATTTGGAGACTATAGAAATGTGAACAATTCTGACACCTAAAGCATCGTCTCTGACAGATTGCCATAACGTTGTTCGAGTCACCCAAAATTACCTGGAAAATAATATTTCATCGCCTATTATAGTCAGAATACAAAAATCAAAATGGGTTTTATTAAATTATTCAACACATTCACCTTAAATTTCTTCAATTTACTAATGATCATGGGCTGTAGTTCAACAACCGTATGGCAAATTCGTTCTCCTCTTTGCACGTGTTTGCTCAGGACAATCTAAACATTCTTAATAGGCTTTTACGTGATAACTATATGGGCTGGCTCATCGAGCGTTCGGATGATGGGAAACAGCAATCAGGATTCTGAAAGGTATGAAGGGTTAAGTGACGCGGTAGCCCACTGGAAAATTGCGGTAACCCCTTGAGGATGAAAGAGATAAGACAATAATTTACAGGTTTATCTCAAAATTGCGTTATCTGAGTGCTTACCAAGAATGTCATTTGCGGTTCTCCACGAGCCCAAAACTTACCCCATCACACCGCAAACTTATTATTATAACTACGGACAGAGCTCAGATTCATTCAAATCCACGTGTCAATAGTATGTCATTTCAACAGCAGGATCGAAAGAGATTTGGGATTTGATTGTGAAATCTCCGTCCGTTCATTCCCAGGTCCTTGCAAGCTGACACATGCATACACTCGTGGTCTGAACCCCAATCCATAATTCACTGCGCCAAAATACTCATAGTCACTACTCACGGGGGTACCGTTTGCCCACTGAGTTCAAAGTGATCGCAGAAGCATTTCGCACCGCCAAAATACTTTCCCTCTGATGCGCGGAATTTCACATAGCGGAAAGCACAACTATATGTAAAGAGCTTAGGCCTACAAAGAGGTCCATCTTTGAAAATGAGAAGGGCGTAAAAACAGCGATGACATGAATTGCATTTCAATGGCTGAACCGTGTTTGCGCTGCATAGCTTTAAAAGAAATGCAACGTACAAATAACAGAATATTACTGTATTGCGTTCAATTAGTTCTTCCACACGCCAGGGGAAATTTCGCGTGGTGCTAACGAAACACTCCCCGTTAAGATTTGACAGTGAATAATTATGATAACTGGAAGTTCAAACGTCTGCATTTGAGCTCTAGAAGTGTCATATGTTAGATGACCTCTGAAACAAAATGAGCACTTTGATGTAAGCTAAGTAGCTAGTACATGATACAACCAATCCGATGTTCAAACACTATAGTGGACAAAATTACGGACCTTACTGTGTCGGCTTTAGAATGCATTTACATAAATTCGATAGGATATGTAGAAAGATGGAGGTGACCTTTCACATAATCCCGCGACCCAAACCCATGATGACACGTCCACATCCCAATCTTGTCCCCTACCGTGTGTTGTCAAAAACGAGCTTGTTCGCTAAAAGCGCTGTTTTCTTTCTCTCCATGCCACAATGGAAATTTCCCTCAGTCCCTATCTATTTGATAGTTTAGTTCTAAGTGAATCGATGACACCCCAGCGGAACCCACCTGGTTTGTTTTATACAAGAAAGTCGAAGTACATATGTGGTAGAGCACTCTATGAAAGTAGTTAGCGTAGAATGCATACGCGTAAGCGCACAATCAGATCCTCATGATCACTAAATGAACAGGTAGAGTTTATACCCGATAACAGCAATTCGTCCTATTCGAGTGGAAACGGGAGAAAGCCGTGACTAGAAACAAAAACCGGTGGAAAGGTTGTGAATTACTTTTAGTATGCCTCCATCCGGGAAGCGAAACGTATTTGGATGTTAACTGATCGCTTTGGTGGTCAAAACTGACTAATTCCAAAAAGAAAAAAATAATTTCCGTGGACAGTCCGGTGAAATGAAATGAACATTGTACATAAGATCAATAACTAAAAAGAGTATTATTGGAACGTAGGGACGATTTTAATGATAGTAGAAGCGTATGAAGAAACAGAATGGAACGTTTCACCTTTCACCAAAGGAACCTGATTCCGATAATAATGCTAAAAAGCACGTTTCATAGCATGCACAGATCAACGGAAAAACAACTTTTACGCATCGAAAATTTGGGCTAAAAATAACACATTGGTTAAAAAACGTTAATCAATGCGTGACTTCACTAAGTTGACACATTTTAGGATCGTGATAAACGTGAAACTAGAATGAAATGCTTTAATCGTACAAGTTATTAGAATGCAAGGTTGCTTTAGACTCCGCGAGTGATTGCGTTTTATCGCGAATTAGTTTGGCACTGGGGATGGCTGAATACATCAACAAAACGGACCATTATTTCAATGAGTCCCATTGGTGAAGTTCCCGGAATTGGAAGCATTCATTATAAGTCAAAATATATAATAAAACCACCGTTTTTTCTGTATGTGGAAAAATCCAGGAATTTCAAACATAAGGAACGTTTATCATCTCAAAACAAATGGCCTCACGGAAAGAAGCAACCATATGCCGGCCATTTTGATGGCACATAACACATAATGAACCTATGTGCAGATGTTTGCTAGTTTGGATCAGCAAAAGTATAGTCTAGAGAATCTAAAAATGTCCGGTAGGAAGGCAAAGAGTTTAGTGATTACTAAGCGTAACACGAGAACAATTACAAGTCACCATAGATTGTAAGTTCATGGGTATGGATTCAGTGTGGTCTATCCCACTGATGGGGGCGAGGAAAGTCCAAAAATGAAACGTAAGTGGAACATACGTACCAGTCTCGAGACGTGTGATCATGGATAATGCGGCATGAATGGGAACCAGTTGATTACGCAGACATCGGAGCACGAGTAAACCGGACTGTGGACACCAGTAAATCAACCTCAAACGCGCCATACAAGTGCCCAATCCAATAGTCCCGTGACACTTCTGCACCGATTTCCGAATCGCAAATGTCAGATTCGCCTCGGTGGTTCGCAATGCGACCGTATCATCCAATGGACATCCTGGAAAGCCAGGGGGCTGACGTGAATTAACCGATTGAATCGACACGAAGCAGACCATGTAGCGATATTTGATGCGTGTCATGATTGAAAGATTTAATGCATTCACGAAGCTGTGAAGTCAGGGGATAATTAATTACGTTAATAAAAGTAAATACAATAAATCGAATAGATTTTTAAAGTGTAAATGAAAAACCCCATATTCGAAAATTATGAATTTATTTTTTCACCACATACAGTCAAGGAACTGTATCCACGGGATGTTGCTTAGTCCACATCTGACATTGGATAGAAAATGACCTAATTCAAATTTTGGTCCATGAACGATGAACACGTGAACCCACTAGGGTTGATCATGCTTAGACAACTAGAGTGAGATAGGTGTGTCATACAGCAATGCCTTAATGACTAAAGTTTAAAAGGTCACTCACATTCCACTAGACTAGTGTGCACAGTTCAGTCATCTGAAACGAACCACAGGAACACAGGTGGAGTTCGAAGGAAAAAACGAATCAGCTGCAGTAACTCAGTCGTTTGTATCACAAACATTGAACACGTATTATTACAATGCCGGAGTATTTATTCTTTCCACCAAACGTTTAAAGCAAAACTGCACAATTGTTTCAGTTCCCTTGGTGGCCAATTTGAAACGACTACTTGCCGGTGTGGTAGATCCCGACTTCCCATAAAACGAGCTGGCCACTTAATCGGAAGCAAATGAGTGACACTAAAAATCCGTAAATAAATGCTACAGCTGGTAGTGTCGGCAAGACCAGTTGAATAATCCGGTATAACTATATCCATCAATAACCTGACTGTTTTTTTCTCTGCTTTTATCACTAAGCCCCGTTAGTGAGAGGGGGCCTCGAAGTCATTCAAATGAAAGGTTAGAGTTGACAGGTGACTATCATAAACAATGGTGTTCGTGCAACTANTCACTTTATATATAAATTTAGTGTTTCCTATGGTATTCTATCCAGAGCTCATCATTTTTAGCCATCACACGTCTCATCTTCAGCCTTGCTACCGATTAGGTAACCAATTAACACAAATTTATGTTCCGATGGCCAAACAGTGTTTTCATTCATTTGAGGCTTGTTCTGCTCCGTGGCCATTCAATCACACCGTCGATCGTCTTGCCATCTGATCGCATAAAAGTACAGTCTCCGGTCGTTGTAACGAGACCATGTGCTCATCAGTAAAATAATTAGCACTATGGAGGAAAGAAGAATTATTACATATCTTCATCGTTGAATTCTTCTCGACTAGTTCCGTTCCCTGACTGATCAACCAGCCTGATGGTCCAAAAACAAACCACAGTTGATTTTACAAGCTGAAATCGAACCACTTAGTTCAAATATAGATGAACCTACTTCGCTACCGAATATGTACCGATTTATTCTGGTTTTCAATCACGCAGACTGGTTATCCGGAATCTGCTCGAACAATCGCCCGCGTTTCATTCACAATCTGGTCTGTGGAGCTGTTCGAAAAACCCTAACAATGTTCAAGAAACACGACGACAGATTTTGAGTTGTCAACAGCGCCACACCTTTTGAGAATAACCGTATCTTCTTCTGTTCACAGAAAATGTGTGAAGATGCTCACTCTATATAAGAAAAAAAAAGAACTCATTGAATCGAATTTGACATACAGACGCAATAAATCGTGTCAGCGATAGTACCAGCTAGAAATAATACGGCAATAACTGCAGAGCATCAGTTAAATACCTAGCTTGGCCACAAGATTCTTCGTCTAAACGTCATTTCATGCCTAGGTGATTGTAGAATGAGATCCCAAGCAAAGCATCTCACAACACGATTGGTACTAATGAACATAGTTTTGAAAGTCCGCATGGTAACCTTTAAGCGAACTAAACAGAATAAATGAATCTGCTGGAGAAGTGACAGAGACAGTTTACCACGAAAGGCAGTTGGAGTTTGAAACCAGGAACACGGTGAAATTCTCTACAGAAAAGAGACTACATCAAAGCAAGATCGAGTGAACCAAGTAGTATCAATCATCGCTTTGTTAGAGAACGCTCCAAAATAGAATTGGTGTAAACTTTCGGCGCTGAAGTAAACACACGAAATATAATACAGAACAGTTATTGCATGATCCGTGGTGAATGAGTCAATCAGTCAGCTTGTAGTGTGCCCTGGTCGCCAATTGAAGAATCAGAATATTCGAAACGTAACAATGGAGATTATAGAGCTTATTTGTGAACTGGAATCATAGCTATTGGGTTTTTGTATGTACACACTTGACTGTATCTAATTTTTAAGCTTATTCGGACCACCCGGTATTACCTGGTCGCAATGCGGCGTTCACTTAACCCAAGGAACCATTCAATCATCGACAAACTACTCATTGATAGCATTCAGGAGCACAGGACAAGGATAGATTAAAGTATGAGGCTCTTAATGAAGTTAAGGATATCATAGTAAGAATTAATTGCTACTCCGGTGATCATTAGCAGTTCGCAGGGTTCCACTTCATTGGAACTTGAGCTCGAATCTCACAATTACTGATCCTCTAACATAAAGACAACCTCGCCCAAGTTACACGTTCAGGAAAATATCCCACGTGCAGTTGACGACATCTAGTACCAGGAGTTACCTTGTCACTGGTATTCATAACGAAGGTCACTGTCCCGATCACAATAACTAGAGCTCGGTAAAATAGTTACAGGAGAACTATCGCAATCGAGCACATTATGACCTCGGCCAATCGAATGTTAAAACGACAGCAATACTGATCAAACATAACACAATCGATCGGAGATGGGAATGGTGGACTGCCAAACACAATGTGAAACAGTTCTCAAGCAACCAGTGCACTGCACTATCACGTGAAGAGAACTGTTTAATATCTTTCGCATCTAAGACGAACGATAGAGAACAGCAACGGACGAATGGTAATGCGCATTCCGGAAAGAGGAACACACATCAGAGTAGAACATTTGATTCTGGGCAAATAGGTACCCGAATTTTAGTGTGATCAATCGGTGCCCTATTTTAGTACATGTGTGGATTGAGAGACGAATGAGGATGGAAGAGAAACAGACACGCTGCAGAAAAGGAGGCGAGAAATCTTATGAATCACTTTGATAATAAACATAGGTGGCCGAAGATGGGCGTGTGCGCTAGCACCTGAGTAGGTGAACGTGCACACACACACACAAACATTGAGATCACAAACCCGGGAAATTGTATCTGTGGGTGGGAAACTATTCACCCAAAGAATTAAAGCACCAAAATCAATGAAATATATCACCGATTTACAGAAAAGGCTGCTGAGTGAAGGGCATAGGATGAAATGACTGCATCCGGAAATAACAACAGTGTAAGGAGTTGGAGTGACCGTTGAATAAAAAAAGCAGTGGTAGCGCCTTGATCCGATGCTTGCACAAACAAAAAAACAAACTGAGGATATAAACGAAAAGGAATGAAAGCCAAAGTGCAAGTACTGGAGTGAGTGTATCACCTGTCGGAAACAAAATTGTAACCAACAGTGGGGATTGATGTGCCTGGACAAAATGGAACAAAGAGGGATAACCATAAATGAATGGATTCGACCTCCCTCCCCATCACCCGAATGAGGATATTCGTCTCAACAACCAAAAACAAAATCTGAATTGATCTGAGCTACACAAGTATTTCCATCAGGCTATAAGAAGCCAAATAATGAAGAAGATGGCCATGAAAAGGCATAGTTTGGACATAGTCTCAGCATCCGCGTTCCACGTTCCATCCAAAGAACCGGAACCGTTTGAACCAGTATAGCTATCGCTTCCCGTACCACCAGAACCAGCACCACCGCCCACATTGAAAGCAGTGGCAAGGAAACCGAACGGAAATGCGCCGATTCCGATAGACATTCGGAAATTACTGCCACCATCCGGTGTCCCGAATAGGTTGTTAAACACACCACCAAGACCAGCCTGAGCCGGTTCTGGTTCTACACGACGACCGGCAGGTCGCGGCGGTATTTTACTTCGAGGGTCCCGAGTGTGATCTGCTCCACGACCGTAGAGTGGAATAACCTTTAAATTGGAGTTGAATAAAAATGTGGATCGTGAAATAAAAGGCAAGAAGCTTATCGGCATACAGTTGAAGAACTTGGAACAGTGTACCAATTCAAAACTATTTTATTTACGAGGAATTTGTTCCATTAACGGCTGACGCCGCTGGATCCAACTTTGTATTTAGAGTTAAGTGACGAGATTTTCAACTTGGATGCATTGCGGTCACTCACATTGATCGCAACTGATGTGCACTCATCATCCAGCGAAATTAAAACAACGCGTGCATTTTCATTTGAACAGGTCAAACCGGGATTCTACTCAGCTCTCATGCATATTTTGGTTATATAGCTTGCCCATCGAACAGCACTCCTCATGAACGCCCCTCAAACAATCGAGCAATATTGTTTTACAACCTATCAACAAAGGTGATTGCATATCCTGTGCCAAATCTTTTTCAAATTCAACTCTCTATCTGCTTGCAAGCCTTCTCAGCTCGAACGAAAGACTTTTGAAACACTGCGTCCACACTAAAATGTACCGTTCACGGAAGAGAAATCTGAATGTTTCTACGTTGGCGACGCATTGGTAGAAACCATGACATTTATGAACTTATAAGCGGTAATTTTTATCGATTTATTATATGTATAAACTGTTGTATGCACCTGATGAGATATAGCGACATACATCAGGATACAAATCGTAGAACGTAAACCGACTATATTCTCTATTCAAAAGCAAGTTAGTTTGTTTCTTCCTTTTAAACACGACACTATCTTGAGCATATTAACCGTAGTTCAAAGTCCGCTCTTAGCGAAACACATGCGTGACAGTCCGAATACACACCTTGTAAGCTACCAGTAGTCCGAAATCGCACGCTCTTTATCTCACTCTGACAACCATATTGATGATGATACCTCGCATTTTATCTACGAGTAGTTCACTCGCAAATGTGGTGACACAAACATGGGACGATAAGAATGACTGAAGCAGCAACCAAACGCACCACCAAGTGGATTTCGCACTGGCCGAACCAGTCAGACTGTACAATGCAAGTCTTGTTAGGCAATTTGACATCATCAACCTGGAAGCCTTTCTTTTAAACTGGTCATTGAGTTGAACACATTTGTTCATTTAAAGTGTGAGCGCGTAATAAACATAGAAAACTGCTAGCGTGCAGTGAAGCCGTGGTGATCAATTCTGAATCCTAAATAGTGATTCACAAATATTAAGTGTTCCTTGATATTAGACAAGCAATTCCTACCAGTTTTACCCTATTTATTTTATGAAAATAACCTTTCACGAAACTATTGGCACATATCAGCCAACTTCGCTACACAGTATACCGTTTGATGATGAGGACGATGACAATTAGTTCCTTGATTTTAACAAACGATAAGAGTGGACGAAATCCATTCGTGTAGCACGACAACCTGCCAATGGAAAATGTAAGTAAACAAGAAAAAGAAAAAGGCAATGCACTCACCTTGTCACGGCTGATAGCAGCTTTACATACTGGGCATACTTGCCGTGTTTCTGATGTTTCGAACCAACGATGCAAACAAGGCCAACAAAACAGATGCCCACACATGCTGACTACAGCGTCTTGGGCAGGATCTAGGCATATATTGCACTCAAACGAGCCGGTAGTGCTTGACGGTTTGGCACTTTCGTTCTCGGTTGAGTCGGGGGTGGTCTCATGCTCAGTATTTTTGTTATCACCGGCATTCTGTCTCCTGGAGGTAGTTGGTATATCAGAAGTCTCCATCTGTCGGTGGTAATCTAATGTCAGTTAGAATCAAGACCAAATGTCTACACGATCCAGAAGTAAATAGAGCTATAAATGAAGATTGCACAGAATTTCATTATATACAGATTCATTAAAAACCAACGATGCAAACATTTTCCTGGGTTAGATGTCACATTTTCAAGGACCGAAGGCTACCCCATCCATTACCATGCAAAAAATGTGACTATCTTAAAGGTACTGTGATGTTCATCAGTAAAGTAAAGGCAAGAGATCATCATGCGTTGTTAAATGGTTTTACATGAGAACATTCATTCAAAGGAGAAGAATTGTTTTCCTTGATTCCCCTTCTAGATTGTACACATTGTATAAGGAAGTTGTATGGTAAAAGGGGCTAAACATTCAGTCCCGTAAAGGTCATGGTGATATGTTGGAAGAGGGATGTGGAGTGAGTAGTGCGACGAGTTTCATACCACAACCGCAAAAATGAAATCAGGTTGTGACGCGTGCCCCGAACTATGTATGCTCAGAGGCCACGTCCAAAAATGAACTTGGTCAGATTTAAAAAAATTTCAGGGAAACCCTAGAAGGTTCATTGAAAGAAACCTAGAGGAAAGGTCAAAATACGAGCCCGTTCAGGAAGCTTCGAAAGAAAAAACTGTTTATTAAACTGCCATTCAAAGGGGATGCCCTGACTGGTCTCACTGGATGTTTGAAGCGGCCTGTGAGACGAGTCATTAATGCAGACGGTTTATCATGCGTATTTGAAGGCTCACTAATAGTGAAAACATCCAGTTAAGGGCGGTGGTGACTCGGTGGTAACATCATCAAATGGTTACCCCTGTGGATGTGTAATCGAATTCCATCAACACCACCTGACTCTCCAATTGTGTTGTATGGAAGCCCTTTGGCTGGCCGCATCCCCCTTCCCAATAGTAGTATCATCATGTTGTATTCGATGAAAGGAAGTAACAAGAAAAAAAATGAGAAAATGACAGTTTCTCTAAGCTGACATCATTCTTGGTTATCTATCCCTTCAACAGTGGTTGTACCACAGTTTCAGTTTTAGTTTTCATTTTTACAACCATTAACCATGCACTTTCGTGCGCGGGTTTTGGTTGCCCATTTGGTTGTACCACAACCTACATTGTCCAAACGACAAAGTAAATTTACAAGCGAATCAAAGAGCACGCTGCTTTTGATACGATGAAAAAGTTACCAAGCAGTTTCCAGTCAACAAGTGGAGTCTGAATCAACCCTAAAAGTTATCTATCGAGTACCATCTCAACCATCCAAATCGTTGCGTTTCAACATACCCTAGCCACCGTAGAAGCGATTCGTATTCGTTCGTTCACACTTTATGTGTCTATGCGATTTACTGCCATGGCCGAAGATCGATCGAGCTCCACCACCCCCACCCGACTTTGATAGTGGGCAGCTTTGCTGTCGCCCGGTTCAATACCACGCTCTAAGCTATCGGGACCTTATGTGGTTTACCACTCCAAGTCCCGAGCCTTAGGTTACCGGTTTGCATCACTGAACAGCAGGCTCTCGTGAATATGGAGTTTACCACGTCTCCTGTTCATCACACGAAAGTGTGTAATAAAAAATATTATTTCTTATCCCGTTGTTTAGTTGACGACGTAGACGAGCAGCTTCGGAGTAAGGTGACAACTTTGTTCGATTTCGGAACTGAGTGCAGAGCTCAAAACGTTCTTCGCCATAAATGCAGACCATTGTTCTGGCAGTTCGGTAGTGTTAACACAGAAGCGTTCAGATTTTAACAGGCATTCAATTGGCTTTTGTTGTGATAATGAGCAACTCAGAATTTGAAACGAAGCGAAAAACAGGTTTGTGCTATACATCGTAGATCATTTCACTGCATCTGTACTCGTACATACTGCAGTTTATGCGATCAGCAATGTATGGTCAGGAATAACAGAATCATAGGCCGAGAAAGGCTGCGATCAAAATCACTCACCAAACACATTTGTTACCAAGATAGTGTCAGAGTGAGCATCATTCACACTGTCTACATAGTCGCGGACGATAATTTGGAATAGTTTGTCTCCGCGAATTTCAGAACCCTGGAGTTGTTTGTGTTGTACAGGATTCTGAACGCATCTCGCAGCATGACAGTGCTCCACTTCAACCAGGCATTGTGTAATGCCCTCCCACGGCAACGGTGATTTCCCACCGAACTGAGAGGACGAAAAGCCAATATCCGGCTCGGTGAACCCCTGACAGTTCACCTCGAGGAGCTAGCTAAAAACCCTGATTCCAAATAAACCAAGAACAGGCATGCGAACCACACTTGCAAACACCTTCGTTGTGGAAGTGAACACCAGCACGATCGAGCATCGAGGGGCAATGTACACCCTGGAACTTTGACCCCATCCAAAGAGCGTATGATCCGATGAACTGGATGGACACCGGCACCCGATGGATTGCGGTTTTCGCACACCGCCCAGCTGCCTTGCGGATCAGGCTTTGGCTAGTCGAAAACTCCGATTATGAATTCCCCGATAAAATTCACCTTCCTTGGTCTGGACAACCTGGTGGTATTCCACCCATAAATAAATCACGGAAATTTATCTTTTTTGTGAGATTATCGTACTGTGTTCTTTTTGGTGCACACTCTGAATTCAAAGGTGCATGAAATACAATACAATCAAGTGGGGTTTTTCTAAGCTGAGTTAAAGGATCCGATGTTGTTTTGATGGATAAAGTTTGTCATAATGCAAAACGCATTCAATCCTGAATAACGATAGAAAATTCAGAGTAAATCAAACAATTAATGATCCACAAGGAATGGAAAAAAAATCAATCTTGCACTGAAAAGTTTCATGCAAGCGAGAATGATTCATGAATCGACAATGGAAGTCAAACATCATAGGTTTCCAGTTTGCCAAAGCCACAAAAAGAAGGCATTCCATTGCGACTCATTTTGTCTATGTGCAGCTTAGCTAATTGGTTAACAGACACTAAAACCACCGAGACTCCATTTCCCAATACAATGCGAAAGACAGAAACGAACACATGGTTACCATGGTTGTTAACTCACCTTCTACCAACGTCCAACTACCGAAAACAACTGTGATTATTAAGCATACTGTGGAAGAAAAAAGCATTCACGTTGGAGGAGCTGACATGGCATTTACAGCTGTGTAACCATGATGTGAAATTCTCCCTCCTAGGTGAACGAACAAATAGATGAAGTTGCCATGGGCAGCCCGCTGGGGCCCGGGTTCTGAAATACGCCGAGGCGTAAGCTATTTAAAATTACCATAACTAACTGTGTAAACAGTGTGAAGGGCAATCACTCCGGTGCTACTCGGGGTAATAAATGGGTTTGGTGAGCGATTTTGATCGCAATCTTTCTCGGCTTATGATTCTGTTATTTCTGACCATATATTAGTTTCATTTTTGTTTTATTTCAAACCAGTGTGTGATGAACAGCAGTCGGGGTGGACCCCACAGTCACGAAGATCTGCTACCCAGAGATGGTAACCGGTAACCTTAGCCCCGCGACTTGAAGTGGTGAACTACATTAGGTCCCGATAGGTCAGGCTTGGTAAAAAAAAAAACCGGGCTACAGCAAAGCTGCCTACCACCAAAGTCGGGTGGCGGGGCTTGAAGGTTGAACCACAGAGTCCAAAGCAGACCGGTGACAGTGGCTAAGCCACTATGCCACTGCTACCTGCGTATATTGCGGTATGTGCGTGTACAGACGCAATGAAATGAACCAGGATATATTGAGCAATCCTGTGCTTTTGGCCTGTCCGTAGAAATTCGTTTCGGGGAAAATGTGACTTCAAACTTCGGATTGACCGAGTCGAAGAGAGCTGGAACGTCGATAAAGCAGGATATGGTTAACTATCGGAACGTACAGCCGTGCTTCAGTGAACTGAGCGTAGCAAATATTTGGTCCACACAGCATCTGGCAAAAAGGAATACCTTCCAGTCCGGGCGTGTGAATCGATCTCTTGAAGCACAGAAGCCACTGATAAGCGGCACACAGATCATTGCAGCAACACACGCGCGCCGAGTTGTCGCTTTTTTGAGAATGATTATATATCGGTCGAAAATGTTTTACCTCACCTTGTTGAGCCAATTACATTATGTAGGGCGAGAGACCGTTGTAATCAATTTCACTCAGGATGCTGCTTTTCGGTTCTGGCTGATCACAACAATGGTTTCAGTTATACCAGGTGTATTGTAGTTGACATCTCGCAGCAAAGGAAAGGGCTCAGTTTGATAGGTTCATGAGGTGATTTGAAGGTTAGCTGAACAGTCAAAGGCAGTGCTCAAACAATCGCTCCATTATCATACTTTGTTCTGGCATAAAATAACCGGATGAATTATACAGAAGCGATTCCTGTGTCTGTTTGAGAAGTTGCGAATTAGGTGGAATAACTGGCCGAATTTATCAGTCTCTGGCGCAGTTTCCACTTATGGCAATGTTCGTCTTGTGGTCAACCCTAGCGGTCTCTCGTTACAAGCTGTGTTCACTGCTACCGAACAGTGGAACTTAGTATACTTTGGCTGACAGATGTACTGCGTCTTCGGAGATACAGTCGCTAAGCGTCCTCCTCTCATCCCAAGCATAAATAGGAACAATATCATCACGAATTCCGTTCCACAATAATGTGAATTGAATTCAAATTTTTATTATGGGTAAATCACAAAGGTGACGCTTATTTACTCCCATAGGGTCTGTACACACTGGGTTCGGTTGGTAATACAATTGAATAGCGAATTCTGACGTTCACTCACGAGTACTGAAAAATTAGGTGGTTCAATGCTTCATCCAGTCGTGACTTGAATGAATCGATGGTTGGTGCACTTGAGGTGGAAGAGAGTTCCAGGTGTTAAAAATTCTGAGGCTGAAAGAATGACGCCTGCAGTCGAGCCGGCTCTTTTGGAGCAGAAGTTTAAACGATGTTCTCGGAGGTGACCATTCCTGGAAAGTGTTAATAGAGCACTACACGGGTGGTTAGGTTGCTGTAGTATTTGATATA